ATTGTGTCAGAAATGACTATACTACGACTTGAAAACGTGGGAAGAGTGAGTTCTAAGTCGTTTGCCCTCATATTCAGGTCTAGACTCCATGTGAAGTGATTCCCTGGAGGGGACCTTCTACAATGGCCAGGAATTAGACCAAAATAGCACTTTAGTTCAAAGAGAAAATGGTCTGTTGACTTTTGTTCATGGTTGAAACTACATTCAGAATTATCAACTGGGACAGAAAATTTGAGAAGGGAAATGTAAGTTACACAGTTTGCTGTTGCAACCTGACATTCTAAAGACAAGTGGGAATGAAATGGCCCAAAAGGGTGTCCAGTCGGGTCGCCGGTCAGTTACTGTTCAAACTTCTCAATGCCGATCACTCTATTTGGACTGTTCACCCATTTCTTCATTATTGGTTTTAATCTCATTTCTCACCTTCCTCTCATTCATTCCCTCTCCATCGCTCCTTCTCTCTGTCTGCTGCTCTTTCTACTTTTGGGCCAACTGAGGGAAAAGACTGTGTATGGCTTTGTTTTTCCACCCCCCAACTTGAAAGGTGACCAGAAGCTTAATGAGGTAAAAGGAGCTAGGTTCCCATGAATCACAATCAGCCTCACAGAGTAAGGGTATTAGACTCTGGAAGATGCTCAGTGAGTCAAAAAAGAATGTCAAGTACCAATTAGGATTTCAAAATACTAATTAATGTTGTCCAGAGAGCAGATTCCGCTTCTTGAGATGCATCTTCTGGGGCACAAGCATGCCTGCGACTCGTGTCTGCACCGTCCGAGTAAGAGGCTGCACCCAGCGGATGCTGTTCGATTGTTCTACCGTAACAGGCTGTCATCTCCCATTAGCCCTCATGGTGAGACGGATGTCACCGGCCGCTGGAAATACGCTTCTATAAAAATGACGTCCTGCACTGTAAAATGATTATGAATCAATAAAAAATGTAAAAAAAAAATGACGTCCTGCACTGATGAACTCATCTACAGAACAGAAACAGCCTCGCAGACACAGTAAACAGTCTTACGGCCACCGGGGAAAGAGGGTAGGGAAGGATAAACTTGGGAGTTCGAGATTTGCAAATATTAACCTCTATATATAAAAACGGATAAAAAACAAATTTCTTCTGTAGAGCACAGGGAACTATATTCAGTATCTCGTAATAACCTTGAATGAAAAAGATTATGAAAACAAATATAATGCATGTACATGCATGACTGGGGCATGACACATTATAACTGACTGTACTTCAATTTAAAAAAAAAAAAACAAGGTTCTGGCCACAAGTGACAGCCTGTAATTCATGGTCGTTGGGACTCGGGCAGCGGGTGCCATGAGGTGCCCACAGGTCTGCATCACCTGGGAAGCTCTGTGTCTTAAGAACAAGCTTTCCCTTGTGGTTTAACCTTAAGCAGCAATAACGCCAGCTCGTCCGTGGCCCTGAGCAGCACGCAGAAGGATGCATCCTTCTGGAGTGCCGTCTCCGCCAGAGGCATTCTCTAAGGAGAGCCTGAGATGCCAGACGCCTCAGAAGAAGGCTCTTCCCGGGAGGCACCGAGACTGGTGATGCCAAGGGCAGCGTCTTCCTCACCCGCAAGGCTCATGGCTCCCACTGGGTGCAGAGCCTGCCGGGGGCATGAAGGCCGGGCCCAAGGGCCCCGCCAGACACTTCCCTCTCTTTTCTCTCTTCTCATCTTGAAAGCCCTACATGTTGAGGTAGGACTGAGGGCCCTGCCACAGCTGGAACCCAGAGAAGGGGCTGAACTGCAGTGGGGAACTAGGCAGGTGGGGGCCACGTCCCCTCCTACTGGATGTGGGAGGGTTTGTGTCACACTTGTCACCAAGAGAGATGGCAGAGGTCATGCTACGTGGCGTCTGAGGCCGGGATGGAAAAGTGAAGGCATTTTCTCCCTTGCTCTCTGGCATGCTGGGGACAGAAGTCCGAGGAGCTGTGTTAACGGCCGGCCCGCCCGCCCTGCTGCAGCCGTATGGTCCGGGAGCCCAAACCGGCTCAGGTAGGGAGACCACAGGGAGAGGCTGCCCACACCAGGAAGGAGAGACAGAGGGGGGACCCGGCCAGCACCTGCTGCTCCGCCACCCCCTCTTCCATGGGGCCTGCAGCCAAAGAGAGACCTTGAACAGGAATGCCCACCAAGCCTTTTCCAAATTCAACCCAAATACGAGAGCACGAGGAAGTGGCCACTTCCAGCCCCGAGCACCGGGGCGATCCGCTAAGCAGACGTGGCCACCAGCAGCGCGAGTCTGATGTCTTGTCGAAGAGTCAGGAGGCTCGGGGACCTGAGTGTGGGTTCCTGCCCGGACTTGGAGAACGACGCTCTTCTTCCCATAAGAAGATCACGAAATCCACTGCTATCTCTTCTTACTGGGTTTTCATGGTTTACTTTGAATGAGATCAGGTGCCTCAGAGAAGAGTGAAACTTGTTGAGGACACAAGGGTATTTTTAAATTTCTTTCCAATAACTTGGAAAGGACACTGAAATCAAATATCACATGATTCGCCAGCAGAAATAAAGGGATTTTAATAGAGGAGTAGGTGTCAGAGAAAAAGCATGTGGCTGTGACACAGTGTCACCAGCGAGGGGTTTTCCCTCGCCGTGGAACTGGAGCTGTGTCTGGATGGAAAAGGATACGAGGTGAGAGTGAGACGTGCGCAGGGCCCCCGGGCGGGGCAGCCGCCCACACTCACGGACGTGTGATGGTGCCCGTGTCCGGTGGCGTTGGTGCTGGGGCGCTGGGCTGGGTGGGTCGCAGAGATGAACCCTGTTCAGAGGGAGTTACATCCATTGTTCATTCAGTAAATATTTATGAAGTGATCACTGCGTGACAGCTTCTGGGGCCGCAGAGCAAAGCGAGTCAGATCAAGTGCCTGCCTTCAGCTCCTGGGAGCAGTAAGTGCGGCTGAAAACACACCGCACGCTGACCCCAAATGCCGGGAGTCAGCGTCACGGGGAGCGAGCACCTTAACAGCAGGGGCCGAGGGCCTCTCGGTGGAGGTGGCCTGCTCTGCGCGTGTTCCCAGGTCGTAGGGCTGGAACGGAGGCAGGGATGAGTCGGGGCCGCTGGTGCGGTGCAGGCAGGAGGGGAGGTGGGAAGCGGTCAGCTTGGGGAAGGATTCTGAAGATGGCGCTGAACCTTGGGGTGACTGTGCAATGTGAGAGGACACTGGGCAGAAGGTGACTCATATTCTGACCCGAGCGACTGGCCGAAGGTGAACTTCCTGCTGAGACGGGGAAGCCGCAGAGGAAGCAGCGCTCTCTGCAGACACCCAGGGTTTGGCTATGGATGTGCAATGTCTTAACCCCTGTTAGACGTCCGCGTACAGGTGACGTGGAGGCACTGGATACAAGAAGGTAAAGCATGTTGAGTCCTGGGTGAAAATAAGACATGTGGGATGAATGGGCCAGAACTGAGACCCAAACCTGCAGCTGGGAGTGGTATCTGCAGAGTCACAGGACAAAGTATGACTGAGAAGTGGGTGCGACTCTGCTGCTGTATCCAAAACATCGTCTTTGGCCCCACAGGGGTCATTGGGGAGCCCTCGTGAAACAGCCTGGGAGAAGCTCATGTGGAAACATCTCTGCTACAACTCGGGTGCGATCGGTCATTTCATTACAATAAATCAAAGTGACCAGGTGATCAGTCCTAGGGCCACATCGCTTCAGGACAGTGAAGAGGTAATCCTCTGTGTGGAGGACCTTGGAAACGATGGCCTGACGTTTCTTTTCTGGTTTAGTATTTGCAACACCCGGTGAAGTAGAGCCTGCAGGGGCCGGGGAGGAAGGAACGGGTACCGGGATCATGGCTGGAGGTGGGTCAGTGCTGAGGGATTGGTAGCTTTGTGGGGTTCTGGATGCCCAGAGCGGGCAAAGGCAGAAGAAAGCGCGGGAGCTTTGGGTGCAGAGTCGCCGTGAAGGGGCCAAGGAGCAGCTGCCCCGCCGGGTGGGGTGGGCGAGGGGAGACGGTCTGAATAACCCGGGAGGACAGCCCAGGTCTCTGAGGGGGTGGGTCGAAGCGAGGATGTTTGGGGTCCCAGTGAAGATAAACTGAAGTTGTTTCATTTCTTTTTCCTATGGTGGGTCCCTATCAGTAGATAAAGAAACTTCTGGTGATGTCACAAAATAATTTAGGCCAGGTTTCTCGGAAATAAACCAATCCCTGGAGAAGCTTAAGGAAAGGGGAACATAATATTCTTAAATTTTTTCAAGCTGTTGACAGATTTTTATCAACCGGGACACTGACTGTCCTTTGCCACCGTCCTTATATCTTTTCATTTCTGTCCTTTTCTTTCCTCTTTTCCTTTTGTTCTATTTATTTTGAGCTTAAACACACAGTTACATTTTTACAATTTAAAAAAATTTAAAGCAGATTCTTTTTTTTCTTTTTTTAATGTAGAGGCTGACTTTTTAAAAATCTATTTTTATTTTATTTACTTTTGTTATTTTTAGGCAGAGAGGTAATTAGGTTTGTTTATTTTATTTTATTTTATTTCAGTCCTGGGGATTGAACCCAGGACCTTGTGCGTGCTAAGCACATGCTCTACCACGGGGCCATACGCTAACCCCGCCCCCGACCCCTCCCCGCCTCTGCTGGTTACTTTTAGACACAAATAGATTTAGTTTTGTACTGACAGCTATGTTTCCAAATTGCCAGTCTTTCTCTCCCTTGCGTTCCTTTGTCAGTAACACTAGCGAAGCGGAATCCTCTTCTATGGCCCCGTGGGGACGGACGTGATCAGTGACCACATACCTTGAAGGCAGAAATTGTTAGGCGAACTTTATAGCTTATGGCCTTTAGCTTTGGCCAAAATGCCCACAAGGGGGTAATTTCCTCTTAAATATTCTTTAATGAGACTCATTCTCTTAGCCAAGAGCAGGGGAAAAAAGGAGGAGAAAACCAGCAGCAGGCGACAGAGATTTCTTTTCTGGTTTAGTATTTGCATCGCCCGGTGAAGCAGAGCCTGCAGGGGCCGCGGAGGGAGGAACAGGTACCGGGGAGGCCGGGCGGGTGTCCGAGCCCACGGCTCACTAGTGGTGGGGAAGTGCGTCTGAAGTCATTTCAAACAACTGTTTAAAAAGTCATTTCTTCTTAGACATTCCACAGCAAAGTTAGGCTGCCTGTTGACCTGGCTGGCCCCTGGGCTCATTTTATGGAATGCAGTCTGAGTTTAAGACTGTCTCCCATAGGTCAAGATGCTGTCGTTCACCTGCAGAGTGAGGGCCGGAGCAGGATTGCACCCTCGGAGTTCCACTGTGACTCACAAACACAAGGGCGAAAGGTGGTTATTCCAGACCCAGCTTGCCTTCCCATCTCTGGCAAATCTGTGTCAGTATGAGAGGCAGCCTCCCAGGGGACGTGGGGACCACGGCCTGTGATGGGGGACAGATCGGGTCCAGGAGGAGGAGGGGAGGAATCCGGCCCTGGGCCCAGTGGATGGATCGGAGGCCCCGGAGAACACCTCCCGGGTCACGGCCTGGGTTTTATGTGAGAAAAGTGCCCGTGGCGCTGAGGGAGTGAACACGAGGAAAGGACAGACCAGGCCTCGTTTTGAAAGACGGCCTCTTCCGAGGGAGAGGGTGGAAACTTCGTGTCTTCATAAGTCACCAAAATTCAAAACTCATAGCTCACCAGATGTGCGCTCAGTGCTCGCGTATTACGCGGGTCTCCTCCGTGACCCTCTGAGGGCGTCCGCAACCAGATGCTGCGCGCGAAGCTCTGTTCCCCGAGCATCCAGCCTCCCGGCTTCCTGCCGGGGCTGCCGCGGTGGGACAGTCTCAGGGCGAGTCCTGGCCCTCTCGGTATTCCCCAGCCCTGTGCGTGTGTGACCACGGATATGGCAAAACTCTGTGTTGTTTATACTAATCAAGGTTCTTGAAGGAAACAAAACTCAGGCTAGAGGAGTCACATGAAGATCTCGGGGAAGGAGCAGCTCACGGGGGAGGAGGTAGTTAACTCCCCTCACACCTGGAAAAACCATCCTCACCACTGACGATTTGGGGCCAGTAGATCCGTTGTATTTGTTTATTTTAGATATTTTAATTTTTAAATTTTTGTTTTACTAATCATTGACAGCAGTATGGAGAAAAGCAGAGTCAAAAATCATTACTGCACACGAATATACATACATGTGATTTCATGTGTGACTGAAGCATTGCGCTGCACACCAGGAATTGATACAACATTGTAAACTGACTGCACTTCAATAAAAAAAAGTAAAAAAAAATCACCATAAATTGTGAGAGGAATTTTAACAGAGAAATCCTCTGCATATTGAAGGGATTCCAAAGCACAAACATCATGAAAGATGAAAAGATTCTGTCACATCTTTTTACCAAAATGAGAGAATTCTCATCCCCGAGTACTATCTTTCGACTGGTCCTGGAAAGTT